CCCCCGCTCCCCCGCATTCCCGCCCACACCCCCTCGGAGGCGCTCACCCAGGAGGAAGTCCCTGGCGGACTGGAGTGACCCCGGGGAGCACAGCTTCAGGCCGTACACGACGTAGGTGGGGGGGTGCCTGGCTTTGGCCCCTGCATCGAGAAGCAAAAGAAGGCCACACAGCACACAAAAATAGATTGGTCTGCTGTATGCAATGATTTGGTTGTGTCCCTAGAAAACAAACACAGTGTCTGGATGGCACCTTTCCTTTTGATTAAGTGACAAAATTCTCACAGTCAATTGCTTATCTATACTAATAAAAGGGTAGTATGCTAATTAGACTGGACATCTTCCGGACGACTTTCCGGACAAAGCCACGGTGGCGGGAACAGGCAGAAGTGGTTAGGGGCGATCAGGCAGGCAGGGGAGAGCAGTTAGAGGCAATCAGGCAGGCAGGCAGAGTAGTTAGGGGTGATCAGGCCAGCAGGCAGGTGAGCAATTAGGAGCCAGCAGTCCCAGATTGCGAGAGGGTGCAGGCCGGGCTGAGGGACCACCCCCAACCCCACCCCCATGCACGAATTTCGTGCACCGGGCCTCTAGTACCATGTAAGACGACTTACACCATAAAACACCCCCCCCCAATAATTTATACATGGGAAACACCAGGAAAAGGGGGGGGGGGAGGATGCTGATTCTGCCAAATAAGAATATCAAAAAGCATGTTTGACCTCTCGGATTCCGAAAGTTTACCCGAAATTTTAATTAGCATCTTTGGATACAATCTAGATCTCATTCAATGCTTTCCTAACAGTGAAGGCTCCCTTGCATTGTTCTTCGTGTGCAAGACTAGCTTAAACCGTTATCAACTAGTTTAGACCACTAACTTAGACTGCGTGGTCTACTCTGAGCTTCACTGTTAATAGGAAATAGAATTGCACGTGTGGTCTTCCTTCTCCTATGTCTTTGAAAGCGAGACTACGCCCTAGCTGTTTTTGCTCCGTGGATAGAGCATCGGCCTGTGGACTGAAGGGTCCCAGGTTCGATTCCGGTCAAGGGCACATGCCCAGGTTGCAGGCTCGATCCCCAGTAGGGGGCATGCAGGAGGCAGCTGATCCATGGTTCTCCCTCATCACTGATGTTTCTCTCTCTCTTTCCCTCTCCCTTCCTCTCTCTCTAAAAATCAATAAAAACATATATATTTTTTAAAAATGAGGTAGGGAGAATATCTTTGCAATCCATGAACGCCTTTGCGTATAACAGGCAGAGATGAAAGTGATAGGGTTTCAGACGTGAATTTTTAGCCGCTGCCTCGAACGTGTTATATTTAGAAATGCAATTTAAATCGCCGCTGCCGCTGTCATGGCAGCGGCCCTATTCCGAGACCATCCTTTAATAGGAAGGGGGAGGGGGCGGGCTGTCCATGGGGGCTGGCGAGACTGGGCCCCGAGTCCCGGCTCGGTCTTCAAGGAATAGCTGCGCGCGTGTGAAATTTCCTTTTGGATCCGCGTAGGTCATAGGTTAATGGGTGTGGGAATACCGTCTCAGCATTAAAAAATGGAAAGCAAAGCCCTGGCCGGTTTGGCTTGGTGGATAGAGCGTCGGCCTGCGGACTGAAGGGTCCCGGGTTCGATTCCGGTCAAGGGCATGTACCTTGGTTGCAGGCACATCCCCAGTAAGGGGTATGCAGGAGGCAGCTGGTCGATGTTTCTAACTCTCTCCCTCCCTTCCTGTCTGTAAAAAATCAATAAAATATAATTTTTAAAAAAAGGAAACTAAAGCCCAATTAAACCTGAATGCGTTTCTCATCAAGCGAAGAGCAGAGTGAACGGGTTGGCACAGAGAACTGCTCGGTGTACGAACACACCAGCGCCTGCTCCGCTGAAGAAACACGTGATGAGGTCGCCCCCTCCCGCCGGCCCTGGGGCCCCCTTTCACGAAAAGGTTAAAAATGAGACCTTCGAGGACCTGGAAGCCTTTGGCCGTGAACAAGTGCGAGACACCGTCTGGGGTCGGCCGCGTCACACCTCGTTTACTGGGCGTGGGAACCCTGGCTTCGCATTTGTCATTTCTGAGACGAAACCCAAGGCTCCCTGAGAGAGAGGCTGCCCTCGCCACCCTCACGCTTCATCTCCCTTCCCGGACGCATCTGGGTCCCCGAACAATTCGGAGATCGCCGCCAGCACATGCATGTGAGTCGCCGTTATCTGCCTGGGCCCCTCAGCGCACCTGCTAATAACAGTTCCCTGCTCCCCTTCCTTCCTCCCTCCCTCCCTCCTTCCCTCCCTCCCTCCTTTCCTTCCTTCCTTCCTTCCTTCACAGGCGAATCAATCACCGAAAGCCCCAGGTGGACTGTTTTCATATACATATAAATATATATTGATTTCAGAGAGGAAGGGAGAGGGGGAAAGAGAGAGAAACATCCACAATGACAGAGAATCATGGATCGGCTGCCTCCTGCACGCCCCCCGCTGGGGATGGAGCCCGCAACCCGGGCCTGTGCCCTGACCGGGAATCACACTGTGACCTTCTGGTTCATAGGTCGATGCTCAGCCACTGAGCCACGCCAGCCGGGCTCTCTTTTGCCTGCTGAGTCGATCAGCGGTTATCAACCTGTGGGTCTCGACCCCTTTGGCGGTCAAACGACCCTTCTCAGGGGCCGCCTAAGACCATCCTGCATATCAGATATTTACATGACGATGCATAACAGTAGCAACATTACAGTGATGAAGTAGCAATGAAAATAATTTTATGGTTGGGTCACCACATGAGGAACTGTATTTAAAGGGCCAGAGGTTAAGAACCACTGGAGTAGATACTGGCCACTCCCTGTCTCCAACCCACGCAGACAAGACAAGCAACGTGTCTCCCTGGACACTTACGTGGATCGGCGAGGCGGGGTCGGGCTGGACGCTCTGGAACACAAATCAGAAGGGGCTGTGTCAGCACCTCTCGGGCTCCCGCGAGCACAGTGAGGGGGTTGGGGGGGGCGGGGGGCTTGCCTTGAGCAGGGAGTACTGGCAGCTGGCCATCACCAGGCAGAAGAGCAGCACCCACAGGTCTTTGCAGAAGCCGCGGCTCAGCGTCACAAAGCCCAGCAGCGACACCAGGACCACGAGCGAGACCGCCAGCACGTTCTCCTTGACGTCCGCTGTCCTGTGCGGGGCGGGGAGGTACAAGCAGAGGGGGGACACGGAGGGCGTGTCTGTCTGTCACCAGGGAACCCCGCGTCCTCCAAGCAGACAGAACCCCGCCAGCCGGGCAGCTCTCTCCGCGCCTTCACACCTGGGCTCACTTCTCCCATTTTAATTGCTAAGCGACCATGTCTGTCCTTGTCCGGATCTCACTGCTCTGACAGGTTTGCAGCACAGACGTGTGCGGCCTGCACGTGTTCCCGAGAACCTCAGCGACCGTGTCCCCCTGACAGGCGTGCACATGTGCCCGGCCACGCGCCTGCAAGCTCGGCCCCTTACCGGTCCAGCAGCGCCAGCAGGGCCAGGCGGTCGTACCAGACCTTGATCCACTTGCCGGGGAAGATGAGGAACTTGTAGAACTGATCGCGGTTGAACTTCCCTGGGGCCGAAGAGCAGGACAAGGCTTCCAGGTCCTGACTCTGATGCTGCCAGACCCGGAGAGAAGCGAGAGAGACGGTTCACACCGACCTGCTGCTGCCGTAGAGGCACCTCGTCATTTAAGACAGGGGTCCTCAAACTTTTTAAACAGGGGGCCAGTTCACTGTCCCTCAGACCGTTGGAGGGCCGGACTATAGTTTAAAAAAAAACTACGAACAAATTCCTATGCACACTGCACAGATCTTATTTTGAAGTAAAAAAACAAAACGGGAACAAATACAATATTTGTATTTGCATGTGGCCCGCAGGCCTCCCCCCGGAAACGGGGCCCAGACGTCTGCCTCCACGAGGCTCCTGCACAGCCAGGGGGACCTACCCGGGGGGCGTCCGGCTGGGTCCTCTGCGCCACCATCAGCAGCAGCTGCTGCTGGAGCGGACTCACCGAGGCGTCCCCCGAGGAAGGGTCGGGGCTCCCGGAGCTGGTGCTGGAGGAGCTGACCGGAGCATCTCTGGGGGCAAGACAGAAGCTGGGTTACCCTCTCCTGTTGTCCTGGGGTCGCGGCTGTCACACACAGCGGGGGGCGCTGGGGCCCCCGACGCGGGCAGTGAGGCCAGGAAGGAGGATGGACATGTGTGTGCAGAGCCTCTTCCGGGACAATCGCCCGGGCTGTCGGCGTGCCTGGGCCCCCAGGGCCGTCTGGGGTGACAGCCTTCGTGTTCTCTATTTTTTGAAATATATTTTTATTGATTTCAGAGAGGAAGGGAGAAGGAGAGAGAGAAACATCCATGATGAGAGAGAATCATGGATCGGCTGCCTCCTGCACGCCCCACACTGGGGATTGGGCCCACAACCCGGGCCTGTGCCCTTGACTGGAATCGAACCCTGACCTCCTGGTTCATAGGCCGACGCTCAACCACTGAGCCACACCGGCCGGGCAGAAAGGTGCGCTTTTGTACGGGCAGAGCTGGGCCTCACACTGACGGTGACGGCATCCCACCACACTGCACTCCCGGGGTTTCATCCATCTACGCTTCTCCAAGTAGCAAGTAATCAAAATACCTCTGCTTCTGTATGTTCCCACTGATGTGGAAATAAACACCTGAAATGCTTCATCTTCGCCAGATCTCAGAAATCACAGCCTCGCCAGCCCGAGGGAGGGAGGGAGGGAAGGAGGGAGGGAGGGAAGGAGGGGAGGAGGGAGGATGGGCCTCGCATCCCTGCTGACTCTGTCTTGTGTCTCAAGCTGTCTCGGGCCTGACCTGGGAGCAGGCCACCCAGGGGACAGGGCAGAAATGAGAGTCAGCCCAGTGCTCACTGTGCAGGGCATCTCAACAAAGCAGCCCCGTTTTGAAACCTCCGGCCTCTTATTTAGACTTTTAACAGGGATTCTTGTTTTACAGTCTGCAAACAGCTCTTCTTTCCGAGGTCAGCGACATCCATCTGTGCCTTTGAGATGGAGGAACAGCAGAGGGGGAGCCGGGCGGGGCAGCCAGCACGGGGTCTGGGCGCCACCAAGTGGCCGCCGGGGGCTGTGACCACCAGAGCGGAACCCAGAACCCCAGAACCCCACTGCATCAGGGCTTCTTCCCAGGGGGGCAGAGGAGGTGACTCCAAGGACAGGAGTCTACCCAGAAGCGGCCTCGGACACCTCCCACCCTCACACCTCCTGCCTAGGTGAAGACTGAGTCTCGAAGGTGTGAGAAAACCAAGCAAGGACTGCGGGGCGGGGTGGAGGGGGGAGGCGCTGAGGGCAGCCACGGAAACGCAGAGGAGAGGGCACGGCATCGGGCAGGTAGGAACCCCTCAACTGCCCACGGTCATCTTTTTTTTTTTTAAATATATTTTTATTGATTTCAGAGATGAAGGGAGAGGGAGAGAGAGACACAGAAACATCAATGATGAGAGAGAATCATGGATCAGCTGCCTCCTGGGGATCGAGCCCACAACCCAGGCATGCGCCCCGACCAGAATCGAACCCGGGACCCTTCAGTCGGCAGGCCAACGCTCTATCCACTGAGCCACACCAGCCAGGCCCAGGGATTATAATATTAAAGTGCCTCCTGTACTAGTAAAAATGCTGTAGAGGCCAAAATGCTGGGACACAAGTTAGCAGGGAGGACAGAAGGCACTTAACCACCTTAAAACCCCAGACAGTGGGTCGTGAGCGTGCTCCGAAGGGCTCCCACCTGCCCGAGGTCAGGGTCTCTGCTCTCCAAGGTCATTGGGAATGTGAGTCCCTGCCCTGCCAGCTACCCTCAACCCGGGCGTGTGCCCTGACGGGGAAGCGAACCGTGACCTCCTGGTTCATAGGTCGGCGCTCAACCGCTGGGCCACGCCGGGACCAGGCCAGATCTTCCTTTTTTTCACACGTAACCCACACGCTTAGACACCTACCAGTGGCCAAGCACATCCACATCCTCACCTCGGCTACAGTCAGAAGCAGCCACGCGATAGCTCCCAACCCTGAACGCGGAGCGCACTCACCCGGCCGGAGAGAGACCGTCGTGACTTGATGGCTGGGGCGGGGCAGGGCCATCTTTCTGATTTCCAGACTTTAAATAGCAGGATCGAATTTCTCCTGTAAAAACACAACATTTCGGCAAAGAATATTACGCGCGATGATCTGTATATGGGTCATCTCGGCTTATACCGTTTCCAAGTTAGAGGGGACGCATTTTGAGCTGCTTGAATAAAAACTGCGCCCCGGTCAGTGTGGCTCAGTGGGTTGAGCGTCGTCCCATGACACCAAAAGGTCACAGGGTCAATTCCGGGTCAAGGGCACACGCCCGGGTTGTGGGCTCGGTCCCCAGGAGGAGGCGTGCAGGAGGCAGCCCATCGATGTTGCTCTCTCACATCAATGTTTCTCTCCCTCTCCCTTCCTTTCTCTCTAAAATCAATAAACACATTTTTTTTTAAATTGGCAATCTAGGTCCATTCCTTACATTTCTCCACAGAATGTGCAAGTTAATCCATCTTGTTGTACTTCTCTGATAATCCATCTTTCCTTCCTTCCTTCCTTCCTTCCTTCCTTCCTTCCTTCCTTCCTTCCTTCCTTCCCTTTCTCCCATGTTAAATCCTTTTTATAACAAGGCACCAAAATATATCAAGGCTGTATTTTCAACATCTATCCAAAATTGCTGACTAGGTCCTGGCCATTGCCTTCCTGGAGTTTACCACCGTGAGGGGGGAAATGCCCTTAGTCACACGATTGTAAGTCGGTAAAGAATTACAAGCTGTAAGAGGACCCAAGAAAGAAGAGAAGAGGGTGTTCGGAGAACACGAAGCAGGACCCGACCAGGTCCGGGGCGTTCAGGAACCGTTTGCCGGGGGAGCTCTCTCTGGACGTGAGATCTGAAGGGTGAACAGCGCATGGTGGGCGCGGGGACACAGCGAGTGCAAAGGCCCTGGGGCAGGAGAGAGCGAGCCCCGTTCTAAGAACCTTCCATGTGAACCATTGTAGGACTTCGTCTCCCTGTCCCCAAGCCTCGTGCTCAGGCCAAGGGACCAGGTGGGATCCCACCGAAGCCGCCCGCTTGCCCCTCCCTCCTCACGAGGGACGCGCGCCGAAGGCTCACCGTGCTCGTCGATGAAGACGTGCATGGCGTCCCCGGAGCTCTCCTCTTGCACGGACGTCTCGGGCCCGCTGATGACTTGCAAGACGGAGCTGTCTTGCTGGGACGTGACCCTGTAGATGATCCGTCTCTGCCGGTTGCCCTGGAAACTTAACAGACACGCCAGGTTCAGACGCTGGCAGGAAGGGGACGCCGCCTCGTCCTCGGCCAAGCATGAGAGGGCGCGGCCGGCGAGCGAGGCCGCCTCTCGCCGGGCCCCCGTGCGCAGCTAGACAAGAAGGCAGTTCTCCTTACAGGGCCGTGACCTTGGCGGGCTCCGTGCGCGCGGGGCTGGGGCTGGCGTGCTCTTGACTCTGCACGTCCGGTTTCCCGTGCTTGGCGCTGCGTCCGCTTTCAGGGATTTCGTTCTTCCTCTCCTGGGAGCCGTTATCTGCAAAGCATGGCTTGACGTGTTCATGTAAGATTGAATGAGAAATTCACGTGCAAGCACATGGAAATAAGTTACCCAAACCGAAACGAAGGGTAGAGAGAAAATCTAAATGGCTCCTGTGAATTCAGAGTGCGTTTCAATAACGCCTTTGGCCCTAACCGGTTTGGCTCAGTGGATAGAGCGTCGGCCTGCGGACTCAAGGATCCCGGGTTCGATTCTGGTCAAGGGCATGTACCTTGGTTGCGGGCACATCTCCAGTGGGGAGTGTGCAGGAGGCAGCTGATCAATGTTTCTCTCTCATGGATGTTTCTAACTCTCTATCCCTCTCCCTTCCTCTCTGTAAAAAATCAATAAAACATATTTTAAAAATAAAATAAAAAATAAATAAATACGCCTTTGGTTGACTACGTAAATACCTAAACCAGCGGTTCTCAACCTGTGGGTCGCGACCCCTTTGGCGGTCGAACGACCCTTTCACAGGGGTCGCCTAAGACCATCCTGCATATCAGATATTTACATGACGATTCATCACAGTGGCAACATTACAGTGATGAAGTAGCAACGAAAATAATGTTATGGTTGGGTCACCACATGAGGAACTGTATTTAAAGGGCCAGAAGGTTGAGAACCACTGAAATGTATTTGAAAACAGCGTATGTGTGGGAGGCATGATGTAGGCGTCGCCCAGCACATCTGCTTCCCGTGCAGATGATGCAGGGACGCCCTTGACATCGCTCCCGGAACCCTGGCTCCCCCGGCTGAGCATCACGCACTCAGGTTCCTTAGGCACAAGTGGGCAGCACCGGACGAAAACCGTCACCTCCACAAACCTGGCCATTCTGGAGCGAGGCCCCATTTCCCATGTTAAAAACGGATCCGTCTTTCCCCCTCACGCGTTCTCCAATCTAAGCTTCCAAGCTAACGTAGACTGGGTCCCTCCAGGAGGCAGGCACCGGTTAGGTGCCGCCGCTCAGGGCCGGCACCTTCAGCAAATCCCAGCGCCCGGCGGTGGTCCCACTACGCGCAAAACCAAACCACAGAGGCAGACCCCACGGAGAGACCCCGCCTGCCCCGGGGTGACTCACCTCCGGGAAGCCCGCCGTCCTTGCCCGGCTCCGGGGGGCCACGCCTCCGGCCGGGCGCCCCCACCTTGGCGGTGCTGATGGACTCCAACAGGGAGACAAACTCCAGGAAGTTGGACTCGTTGGGAATCTGTCCCTCCTTCGCCTCCAGGTCGGACTTGGACGTGGGCATGGCTCTCTCCTTCTCGGGACCAACCTCGGCCGGGCTCCTGCTCAGGAAGACCTCGGTGCCGCTGTCCACGCTGAGCACCCGGGCGTGTCGCTTCTCCTGGCTGCTCTTGCACGACGAGGGGTCGAGGCTGGCCTGGCCGGCCCTTCCCCGCTCGCCCTCGGGGGGCGCCGAGTCACAGGGGCGTCCCGGGGAAGGACTGCGGGCCTCGGTGGCATGGCCCTGGTCCCCGGACTCCCAGCCGGTGCGCTGGGCAGAGGGGGCCTCCACCATCCATCTCTCAGGCGCCCTCTGGTCCCCGTCCTCAGACAGCTCGAGGGTGATGACGGGGACCCTCGGCTCCACGTGTGGGGGACCGGCCCGCCCCGGGGTGGCCGGCGGGGTTCCGGACGGCAGACCGGTCGTCCCGGGGCCGACCCCCTGCAGGTGGAGCGAGCTCTCCAGGTCCGTCACGGAGCCCCGGGCGCTGCTCATGGTGATGACGATCTTAATGGGCTCGTGCAGGCTCAGCGGGTCTCCGGGCTCAGAGGTGTCAATCAGAGTCACGGCCACCTCTCCCTTGGAGACGTCCCCTTGCAGGTTCAAGGGCGGGTCCGCCTGCCGGGAAGCGTCCCCCGGCGGGTGCCCGGGGTCGGTGATGACGGCGTGACACTGCGGCCAGCTGCGGCTCAGGCTCTCCGACTGCTCCCTGGCCGAGCCCTGGGCATCGTTCCCGGGCTCCGGAGTCAGGACTGAATTCTCGCTCCCCCACGGCTGGAAGGAAACGCCTGTTCTCAGGGAGGCCTTCTCCTCCAGGCCGCCCTCCGACCGGTGGCGGAGAGGGGGCTGCCCCCTGCCCCCTCCGCCCCTCCCTCTGTCGGCTCTTCCGGCCACGCCTGGCTTCGCTGGGACGGCCGGCAGGGTCCCGGCTCCCGGCACGGGGGCTTTAGAAGGAGGGGAGCCGTCCGTTTTGACGCCAGGTGGGGTGGGTGACACGGGTGCCGCAGGCTGGTCTTCTGCCAGGATGACACCTGCCATCAACAACAACAGCAACTTTATTCGCGCTGGAAATGGATGGAGAATGGCCCGGGCCAAAACCTGACAACAACAGAACTAATAACAGCACCAGCGCCAAAGGGAATGGACGCTTATTTGAAAAATATCACCTTCGCCGCGAAAGTATTCTTGAAATCTCTATACTGAAAAAATATGTAATAATTCAGACTTTGTTTAGCTTCTGCTGTTTTGTGGCCTTGGGAGCCAGGCGGGGACGGGTTAAACTACCTGTTTGGGCCCGGCCACCCTGGCTCGGTGGTTGAGCCAATTTCACGTCTGTATGTTGATGATACGCTTACTCTACTTTACGCCTGCTATGACGCGCCCTACGGAACGAGGACCAAACTGGGGAAGGGACAATGAAATATGACCGATACAACATCACACTTTGAATGCAGACGTGACATACAGATTCAAATGAGAAATCATTAAAATGAAGAGTAGCCGAAACCGGTTTGGCTCAGTGGATAGAGCGTCGGCCTGCGGACTGAAAGGTCCCGGGTTCGATTCCAGTCAAGGACATGTACCTGGGTTGCGGGCACATCCCCAGTAGGAGGTGTGCAGGAGGCAGCGGATCGATGTTTCTCTCTCATCGATGTTTCTAACTCTCTATCTCTCTCCCTTCCTCTCTGTAAAAAATCAATAAAATATATTTTTAAAAAAATGAAGAGTAAAAGAAATGTAGTAAAACTATAACTATGCAGTCTGAGGCATAGCTCGCATTTCCAATGATTTCACGGGGATTCTCTTTGACGACATTGTTTTTCACTTCTCGGAGGATGGTGCTGAGATAAAATATTAAATGATGACCACAGACACTCTACCTTTGAGATCTTCCACTGTTTCCTGTGCCGGCAACTCCTAAGTAAAGGAGAGAAGGAAAATCAATACATGACTCAGCTCACTGCCCACTTCCAGGCAGTCAGCAGCCACTGCCCTTCTCAGCGACGCTGCTTAAGCTTCCAATCAGATGGACAGCAGAAAAAAAAAACGCAAAATCATCCGCATGGAGACACCCACCTCCGACCACTGCGCTGTGATAAAAGGGCCTTCTCTAGCGAACGGCCATTCAGTCATCCCTGGGCTGTAAACCAGCAGGGAGGAGGCGCGTGCAGGAATGTAGCATAGGCCCTGGCCGGTTTGGCTCAGTGGATAGAGTGTCGGCCTGCGGACTGAAGGGTCCCGGGTTCGATTCCCGGTCAGGGCACATGCCCGGGTTGCGGGCTCGATCCCCAGTGTGGGGCGTGCAGGAGGCAGCTCGTTGACGTTTCTATCTCTCACTCCCTCTCCCTACCTCTCTGAAATCAATAAAAATAAAAAAATAATTTAAAAAATTTGAGTTTTCTTAAAAAAAAAAAAAGAATGTAGCATACGGAGAAGAAATAATGTCCTACTTTATACTATAGTGACTAGAGCCCAATAAAATTAATCTAGAAAAGGGGTGATTTATGCCCGGCCAGTGTGGCTCAGTGGTTGAGCATTGACCTATGAACCAGGAGGTCACCGTTCAATTCCCGGTCGGGGCACATGTCCGGGTTGCAGGCTCGATCCCAAGTAAGGGGCGTGCAGGGGGCAGCCAGCCAATGATTCTCTCTCATCATTGATGTCTCTCTCTCTCCCTCTCTCCCTTCCTCTCTGAATTCAATAAAAATATATTTTTTAAAAAGGGTGATTTATTGACCTTCTAACAGACAGGGGTGGATTAAGGTGGAGAGGCGGAGCTGACTCCAGGAGAAGGGAGAGGAGGAGGGGGAGTGAAGGTCTACAATGGGCTCTTCCGGCCAGAGTGGCAGGCCGGACCGGTGGGTGTTCCCAACACACGACCGGGTGTCTCTCCTACGGTCCCAGCACGGCCCCAGGTCACCTCCTCGCTCCGAGACGTGCTATTCCACAGGCTCACGGGCCAGGGTCCACAGCGAGGAGCATGTAAGCTCAATCACAGTGCGCCCGCGCCCAGTCCCGGCGGGCTCCGCACCCGGCACCGAGGGTGGGACGAGGAAGCCCACACTCACCAGCAGCCCGGAGGAGCGGTGAGAGCCGGAGTTCTGCCCCTGGGAGCCGCAGCGCAGGGGGGGCGTGCAGCAGCTCCGGTCGGCCTCTCCCTTCTTGCCATTGCTAGTCAGCTGGTTATTGCTAACCCAACAGGAGAAACAGGAGAGCAGTGAAATTAGCCATCAGAACTATGACACTTTCCGTACTGGTCCCCGGACAATTTTTCCCGAGACTCCATTTCGTCATAATCACTGTATGCAAATTAAGTTTTTAAGACAGAGTAATAAACATGACTTTAAAATAAGACATGTGCCTGGCTGGTGTGGCTCAGTGGGTGAGCGTCACGGTTCGATTCCCGCTCAGGGCACAGGCCCGGGTTGCGGGCTCGATCCCCAGTGTGGGGTGTGCAGGAGGCAGGCGATCCATGATTCTCTCTCATCATGGATGTTTCTAGCTCTCTCTCTCCCTCTCCCTTCCTCTCTGAAATCAATGAAAAAAATATATTGTAATCAAGATGAAAACATTTAAATGGTGAGCCGATGCGTGAGTCGGCCGTGCTACCTCGGGGTTTTGTGGTTCGGTATGTGTTCGCTGTGGGTCTCTCTGTGTTTGTTGGGCTTCTCTTTCTTTCCGGAGGGCCTCCGCTGAATCGCTTCTCCTTCATCGAACATGAGGTGGAGGCGGTAGCTGACCAGTTTGATTATTGCGAAGAATATAGTCACTGAACTGCAGTAGAGAAATACAGTGACGGCGTTGGGAGGAAGAGCCTGAAGAAGAGAGAAGAAAGGAGAAAGTCACTTGCTTATAGGACCATCTTTCTTTGAAATCTGCAAGCACTTTGGGACTATTTATGGAGCATAAATTGGACAAGATTTCAAAGGATCATTCTTAGAACTTTTCCACCTGCGCTACCTGAGGAGAAAGAGCTGCTACCCTTTTCGTCTTTTTACAAAGTCTTTCTTAAAGTTCCTCAGGTTCTGACAGAGTCCATGCTGCGTTGAAATCAATAAAAATATATTTAATATAAAAAAAAGACTGAACAAGGTTGCACTGGGTGTATGTACCGCATTTTGCTTATCCCTTCATCGGTCAATAGACATTTGGGCTGATTACACAAGACCCTGCTTTCATTTTTTTTTTTTTTTTTGGATATATAATCTGATGTGAAACTGCTGGATCCTATGGTCATTCTGTTTAATTTTTTTAAAATATATTTTTATTGATTTCAGAGAGGAAGGGAGAGGGAGCGAGAGATAGAAACATCCATGATGAAACAGAATCACTGATCGGCTGCCCCCTGCGTGCCCCCCACGGGGGACCGAGCCCGCAGCCCGGGCCTGTGCCCTGACCGGGAATCGAACCGTGACCTCCTGGTTCACAGGTCGACGCTCCACCACTGAGCCACGCCGGCCGGGCCTGTTCAATTTTTCGAGGACCCGCCATACTGTTTTCCACGTGACTGCACCACTTTATGCCACTTCAGGCTTATTAATAACTGATGGGTATGACTCTCCATCGCTTGAGCAGCCTGGAGAGATCAATACTGGCTCCCCGAGGACTGGCTATGAATAGCACGGTGCCCCAGTGAGAATAAACCGCTTCCACGGGGGACCAAAAAGGCGTATCCTACTTCAAACTGACAAATAAAGAACCGTGGGAGGCCCGGGTCTGCACGGCCAAGGGGAGGCCGGGCCGGGAGTAAAGCCTTTCAGCATCGCCCGCTGCTTCCCTCAAACCCCACTCTCTCAGGCAGGTGCGGGCAGGAGGCAGCAAGTTCAGAGTCAAGTGAATGACAGAGAAACTGCAACGGACGCTGCATCAGAAGGTGAGCATAAAGGAGGCCCCCGGAGCTGGGAGGACCAGCACACGAGTTCAGAGAAGGAAAGTATGGACCACATCCTTCCATGGCAGAAAAGGCCTTTCTCTCTCTCTCTTTTTAATTTAAATATATAATTTTTTTATTGACTTCAGAGAGGAAGGGAGAGGGAGAGATAGAAACATCCATGATGAGAGTGAATCATGGATCGGCTGCCTCCTGCACACCCCACACCGGGGATCGAGCCTGCAACCCAGACATGTGCCCTTGACCGGAATCGAACCCAGGACCCTTCAGTCTGCAGGCTGTCGCTCTAGCCACTGAGCCACACCGGTGAGGGCGCAAAGGCCTTTCTTAGGAAGAAGATGAGTACAAACTCGAGGGCTGACCAGGACGAGAGGTGCCCTTTGAGGACCAGCGACGTGCCCAGCAGTAAGCAAAGGAACCATATCCATGCGGGCTGGCCCGTCGGCCACGCAAGGCTGAGCCGGCTGCTCCCACTCAGAGGCCTCCAGGTGATGGGGTCAAGTGGGGGCTGACGTCCAGTCCCCAAGTCCGAGCCAGGAAAGAGTGCCTTTGGGGGAAGGCCACCTGTCCCTCATTCACCATACTTCATGCAAAGGCATCTTGCTTGTTAGAATTGGGAGTGTAAGGAGAGGTGGCCAAAATATACGAAACCTAGCCCGGCCGGCGTGGCTCAGTGGTTGAGCATCTACCTATGAACCAGGAGGTCATGGTTCGATTCCCGGTCAGGGCACATGCCTGGGTTGCAGGCTCAATCCTCAGTGGGGGTTGTGCAAGAGGCAGCCAATCAGTGATTCTCTCTCATCATTGAAGGTTCTATCTCTCCCTCCCTCTCTGAAATCAATAAAAATATTTTTTAAAAAAAGAAAGGAGCCAAAACCGGTTTGGCTCAGTGGATAGAGCGTCGGCCTGCGGACTGAAGGGTCCCAGGTTCGATTCCGGTCAGGGGCATGTACCTTGGTTGCGGGCACATCCCCAGTAGGGGATGTGCAGGAGGCAGCTGGTCAATGTTTCTCTCTCATCGATGTTTCTAACTTTCTATCCTTCTCCCTTCCTCTCTGTAAAAAACCAATAAAATATATTTATAAAAAAAGAAAAGGAAGGAAAACAGCCCTAGATGGTTTGGCTCAGTGGACAAAGCGTCAGCCTGCGGACTGAAAGGTCCCGGGTTCGATTCCGGACAAGGGCGCATGCCCGGGTTGTGGGCTCGATCCCCAGTAGGGGGCGTGCAGGAGGCAGCCGATCAATGATTCTCTCTCATCATTGATGTCTCTCTCTCTCCCTTCCTCTCTGAAGTCAATAAAAATATCTTTTTTTAAAAAAAGATACAAAACCTAAGGAAAACTAGTTACGGACCCAAATGGGGAGTGGCTAGACTATAACAGTAACAGCTGCTATGCACAGAGCGCTCACTCTATAGCTGGTGCTACGCCAACAGTGACAGGTTCTCCCACTTCGTTATAATTAGAAACGAAGTGGCTGCTGACAAAGCGAGTCTCTGAGGCTGAACCAAAAAGGAGAAGTGGGAACAGAGCAAGTCTGGCGGGAAGGGAAGGAAATGTAGCTACAGCACCCAGAGGACAGATTTCGGTGTGAAAATCACAGAGGACGTGCCCTGCCTGGGGGCTTGGAGAATGGGAAAGTTCCACCCATTTTTTCCAGGGCCCAGCTCTTCCTCTGACCAAGCTGCCAGGGGATAACCAGGCCCCACTCTGTGTGCCTCTACTGTTTTGGGGGTTCACGTGCTCTCGTGTGGAGCAGCTCGGGCAGCACCAGTCGGTGGGAAGGCCAGAGACCTGGACACAATGGGAACCCCAGGACCTCGGCTAACATTCTCAATTTTCCCATCATTCTCTAGATGGCCGTGGCCAGGCCCTCTCCCTGGGCGCAGCTGCTAAAGCTATTAAGTGAATCCCATTATCCCCATTTCAGAGGTGATACAACAGAAGAAGTGCCCGGCCGGTGTGGCTCAGTGGTTGAGCGTCCACCTATGAACCAGGAGGCCAAGGTTCGATTCCCCGTCGGGGCACATGCCCAGGTTGCGGGCTCCATCCCCAGGAGGGAGAGTGCAAGAGGCAGCTGATCAATGATTCTCTCTCATCATGGATGTTTCTATCTCTCTCTCCCTCCTCTCCCTTCCTCTCTGAAATCAATAAAAATATATTTTTTAAACAAAAGTGGAGAAGTGAAGTGACTCACACAAGGTCACACAATCGGTAAGCACTAGCCAGGCGCCGTCAGAACTCATTCAGGGTCAGTCATGGCCGGGACCTTCGTTATCTCAGACAGGTTAAGTACAGAACACGTGTAATAAATCAAAGCTTAAATGTCTCTGATGACAACTGCATCGTTCGGTCTGTGCAAAAGGGCACGAGGCCGATAATAAAATCTAAGTGGAATTCTTTCCAGATGATCCAAATTGGCTTACTGTTTGGGGGTGTGTATTTTTGTTTTTGTTTAAAAAAAAAAATGGAACGCTTCACGAATTTGCGTGTCATCCTTGTGCAGGGGCCAGGCTAATTTTCTCTGGATCGTTCCAGTTTTCGTATATGTGCTGCCGAAGTGAGCTGGGGGGTGTGTTTTGAGCATTTCTCATACATATAGTGTTTACGGATGCGAATAAATAATTTTCCACAATATCAACCAAAGCTAAGGCAACTCTAGGGTGTAGAGCTAAGTACTAATACAATTTTAACGTACACAGTCCAAGTCCCTACAGTGAATTCTCCCTACAGTGGGCTGCGTGGAGGGAGCACACTCAAGCTAAAATTGTGCAACACCCAGAAAGGTTCCAGGCCCCTCAAATCACAGAACTCTGAGTAAGCCCCGGCTGTCAGCAAGCAGCAGATATCATTTTGGGCCCACGTTCTTGTACATTGAACAAACCGAAAAAGAAGTTAACAGCCCTAGCCGGTTTGGCTCAGTGGATAGAGCACATGGACCAGAGTTTGATTCCGGTCAAGGGCACATACCTCGCTTGCAGGCTCCTCCCCGGCCCGGGCCCTGGTCAGGGCATGGGCGGGAGGCAACCCATCGATGTGTTTCTCTCACATCGATCGATGTTTCTCTCTGTCTTTTTCCTCTCTCTTCCACTCTCCCTAAAAATCAATGGGAAAATATCCTCGGGCGAGGGTAACAACAACGACAAAAAAGAGTGTGGCCCTAGATGGACCAATTACCAGGTCAAACAGCTAATAAGTAGCCAAACAGACATTTAAACCAGGTCCGCGTGCAATTCCAGGTCAAGCCAGACAGATCCATGGCTTTGCGAGTGGCATCTCATTTAAGCCCCCAAATAAACACTGTACATCTGGTAGTGTGATTTTTCTCGCTTTTGAGATCAGAAACTGAAAAGTATCAGACAGGGTAAGTAACCCCCAAGGCCACAGAACTCGTGGGAGGCGGACCCACAATTTAACCCAGCGGCTGGACTGCCCAGCCACGGTCAAATTATGTTTTTGGAATAAAACCTTCCAATAGGCACATCGAAATTCGATTCTGGGCACGTAAAGGTCAGTAAGACATGGGGCTTTTCAAATTAACCGCTGTTTCCAGCAGGTGTCTCCAATGTGCCTCAGAAGGTCATGCAGGTCGTCCCTCAGCAGGCACCCCGTTGTGGGAGCCCTACTAAGCCGGCAAGCCCCACTCAGCATGAACAACGTTAGATGTGCCCGTGATCCTATCTGTGCAGGTGTCTCTGAACACAGTGGTGTGTCAAGTTGAGCCGCTCCCCAACTGAACCTGTCTCCTTAAAGCAAAACGGGAAGGGAGGCGAGTGGGAGAAAGTCAATGACTCAATAGGTTTGAACACTTCATTCTGCCTTTGGGCCACCGTGCAGAATATTTACATCCAACACTGCCCCCCACTAACCAGCCAAGAGGCCCAGCACAGGCCCCCCACTCCCCAGCTCCCAGCAGAGGCTGACTCATCCTAACATCCAGCACCACAATCCGTCATGACGCCCGTGCACCCAAAGTCCTTTCCACCTCTTTTTCTGCCAGTGAGCCCCGGTCCCCCTTTTCCCCTGCCCTTTCCCTCCTAAATTCCTGAGGACTTTCCCCATCCCACCTTCTGAGTATCAGGGCCAGCCCTGTCCATCAGGAGGCAGACCCACCGGCTTGGTAGCTTTTTCCCTCATCCTGTCTTCCCTCCATCCAGTCCCCCCTCCAACCCGACTCCCCTCCATCCTGTCTCCCCTCCACCCTGTCCCCCCTCCATCCTGTCTCCCCGGCCTTAGGCCGCCCCACTCACCAGGTGCAGGGCCAGGGGCAGCAGCAGCAGGAACAGCCACAGGTACAGGTGGCAGCTGTTGGTGAACTTGCTGTGCTCGGGGTCGTGGTACCAGCCCCCGGTGAGCGCGGCCCACACGCCCTGGCGGAGCAGCTGCAGCACCTGGGACCCCATGCCTGCTGCCCGGGGGTGGGGGCCCCGCTGCCCGCCGCTCCCAGGCCCAGGGCGCGCTCAGCTCTAACACCAGGGCCGCCGGGCCGCGCCCCCGCCTTCTCCGCAGCCCCCTCCGCCTCCCCGCGCCCCACCACGGAAGCCCGAACCGCCTTGCTGCCCAGACGCGCGGACTGCGGCGCCAGAGCCGGCTGCTGCCGCCGCCGCCGGGCAGGTGAGCGCCATGTCCGCAGGAGGAAGGATTTTCCCATGATGCGCCGCGCGGCGGCTGGGAGGATGCTCCAGAGGCTCCGCCCAGCGCCCGCCCCATCGCGCTCAGCCCTGCCCAGGGTGAGCCCCTCCTCCTATTAGGGGGCGTGAGGGCGGGGGCGGCCTGGAAGAGGTCCCTGGGGAAAGAAGGGACATATGTAATACTTTTTAAAATATATATTTTATTTTTTACAGAGAGGAAGGGAGAGGGATAGAGAGTTAGAAACATCGCTGAGAGAGAAACATCGATCAGCTGCCTCCTGCACACCCCCTACTGGGATGTGCCCGCAACCAAGGTACATGCCCTTGGCCTGAATCGAACCTGGGACCCTTCAGTCCGCAGGCCGATGCTCTATCCACTGAGCCAAACCAGTTAGGGCTGTAATACTTTTAACAAGGAAGATTTAAAATAAGTAAGTAAATAAGTAAATAAAAATCTATCTCTGGCCCTAGCCGGCTTGGCTCAGTGGATAGAGCGTCGCCTGCGGACTGAAGGCTCATGGGTTCGATTCTGGTCAAGGGCACATGCCTGGGTTGTGGGCTCGATCCCCAGTAGGGGGCGTGCAGGAGGCAGCCAATCAATGATTCTCTCTCATCATTGATGTTTCTAACTCTCCCTCTCCCTCTCCCTTCCTCTTGAAATCAATTGAAAAAAAAAAAAGAAATGTTTTTTAAAGCAGAGTGGTCTTTACTCAGTTGTAACACTGGGTGGCACCAGAACACTGCTCCTCATACAGTAAAAGGCAGAACCTTTGCTGGTCTTACAAAGCAGGAAAAGACTGCACAAAGGGTGGATTCCGGACTCCAGAAAGCTCGCCCCAAATGACAGGGCCACTGTTCCCAGATGACACTGCTCATGTCTCGTGAAGGTCAGTGTGTATTGTGTGTGTGTGTTTTGTCGGCGACTTACTTATTTTTTAAATTATTTTTTCTAAACCTTCTTTACAAATGAGCGTCCCTGGAGAACAGATTAGAAATAATGGAACCCGAGGTAGATTCTAAATGATAACGAAAGAACTTCTCAGAAATAGAGGAGGACTTCACCTCCACATTAAGAGAGTACCTCATGTCCCCTCCCCCAAAATAAGAAACAAAAATGTCCCTTCAAATAGATCCTCGGGCAATCACCTCTGCAGTCACAGAGTAAGGGCCTTGGTAAACTCACTCGCCCACAAAAACAGAAAATACAGGCAAAGCAACTGAAATCAATCACTTCAGAATCCTGGAAAGTAACCAAAGCCAAGGGCTGAACTACAAATCCTAATTACGGTACAACACACTGTGGGTACAACATAGCTGTTAAAAACAGCGAGGCCCGGCCGGTGTGGCTCAGTGGTTGAGCATCGACCTATGGACCAGGGGGTCATGGTTTGATTCCGGTCATGGGTTGTGGGCTCGATCCCCAGTGGGGGGCACGCAAGAGGCAGCCGATCCATGATTCTCTCTCACCATTTATTCTCTCTCTCTCCCTCTCCTTTCCTCTCTAAAATCAATAAGAATATATTTTTAACACACACATGCACACACACACACACACACACAGAAACATTGGTTGAAACAAGACCACAGGGATACAGAAAAGGTCCGTGGTGTAAGTTTGACTTTCGCTGTGTGTCCCAGTCTAGTTTAGGGACCTTACATCCCCCACATAGAGCTGGTGTGCAGGAAACCACGGTTTTCATGGCGATTAAACAGCATTACCGAGTAAATCCGTTCAGAGTAAAAGTCGACGGGGACCCATGAGTCCACGAATTGGACAGTGTGGTCAGGAACATCAATTTACTGTGTGTTTTCTCATGTGACTAGTGAGCTGCTGGCACTTAATAAAAAGTAAACATAGCTCATTTATTCACTAAATATCATGCTCTGTTGTTTAATCATCTCTGTCTTGTGTCCGCTGTTTAATATGTCTGGCAGGGTCTGAAGAATTAGTGATCGGATTTGAAAAGAGTCCAGTCAATGACAGATAAAACCGAACGGAACAGGACGAAATGTGTAAAAATGGCAACCCAACGTGGAAGAGCAACCTTCCTATCTCGGGTCCAAGGTCATGGCTCTGTGGCTTTGCTTCAGGAGGCCTATCTTCAAGGGTGCAAACAGGACCTTGGATTTCTGGGAGCGCTCAGATATTTACATTGTTATATTATTCCCTGAAGCGGCTCATTGTCCCCGCGAGCAGCCCTGGCGGTCATCTGTAACGGGAAACATGGGCGGGCAAAACTCCAGTCTCGTCGGCTGATTAAAGTTACAGAAATTCTGAAATTCACGATTATGCTGTCCAGTGCTGAACACCAGCTGGAACTCTGAAGATAAACAGCAACCGGACACACAGGCTGAATTCAAAGCTGCCACACGTACAATCCGTGCCTCAACGCACAGTGTTAACTTACCGTTGCTGTGTCATTAATCGTCCTTATTCTTCGCTTCACCCACATGTTTATTTTTTAAAATATATTTTCATTGATCTCAGAGAGGGAGGGACGGGGGGAGAGAGCGAGAGAGAGAGAGACATCAATGATGAGAGAGAATCGTGGATCGGCTGCCTCCTGCGCACCCCCTATTGGGGATCGAGCCCACAACCTGGGCATGTGCCCTTGACCGGAATCGAACCTGGAACCCTTCAGTCCACAGGCTGACGCTTTATCCATTGAGCCAAACTGGCTAGGGCCATTCCTTTTTTTTTTTTTTTTTAAATGCTATGCACACTTCTTTTTTTTTAAAAAAAAATGTTTTTATTGATTTTTTAAAATTACATGCTAAGCACCTTCCCAAGCCTTGACATGTACAAGCCTTTAAGTACAAGCCTTGACAACTGCCCTAGGAGGTTCACATTATGTATTATTGTTCCCATTTTACAGATGAGGAGACTGAGCCACAGAGAAGTAACATAACTTGCTCACGGTCACACAGCTACTAAATGGTATAATTGAAAAGATCCGAAGAAACGGGAAAGGTCATACATTTCTCTTTCCGTGATTCACTGTTAGTGGTCGTAGAGAACCCACACGTCAGTGAACTCTGGCCTACTACCGACTCATTTCTTCAGAGTTTTTGTCATTATTTCTCTTCAATCTTTCCAGCCTCATCTGGCACAGGAGTCTCTTGACCTCCAGCCGTTTCCTGAGCCACCACTGACTGCATCTCCTGCCTTTGCCCGCGCTGCCTGGAATGCCCCCTTTTCTGGGAATCCCAGTCACACCCAGCTCCAGTGACGCGCGCAGCACCCCCTAGCGACCGGAGGCATAATAAATGGCTCCTTCCCTTTGAGTCCAGGACACTTGGCTTATTCTTCTGCCCTGGAACTTTATTCTCTCTTTTTTTTAAAAAAAATTATATTTTTATTGATTTCAGAGAGGAAGGGAGAGAGAGAAAGAGAAACATCAATGATGAGAGAGAATCATGGATCACTGCCTCCTGCACGCCCCACATGGGGGATGGAGCCAGCAACCGGGGTGCCGGACTAGGAATTGAACCGTGACCTCCTAGTTCATAGGTCGATGCTCAACCACTGAGCCACACTGGCCGGCCATATGCATAAACAGTAAAGATAAACTCGGGGAATAGCGACCTCTGCTCAGTAAAGCGCGCTGCTCGGGGATCTAGTCGGTCTGGCTACCTGGTGACTCCAATGCGCGCGGCCGGGCATTCCGGGCTGGGACCC